TTTCCTTTAATTCTTTTGTAAAACTTTGATCAATCGGTCTGAGAAAACGGTTTGTTGATGATGATGATCAAAGACAAAAGGAAAAGGATTTTTTTAATTAAAAGTCAGATATCTCATTTTTTAACATATTTGTCTTGGATTTTTTGTAACTTTATAATTGTTAGGTAAATTAATTTGTATTTTTTCCGATGTTTGTTGTTATTTTTCAGAGTTCTTTCAACTTTCGTTATTTCATGTTTTTACCTTCTCTTTTTTTGTTTTTTCAATATATAAATTTCTTATTTTTAGTTTCTTTGTTTTTCTCTTTCAAACTTTTCTTTTCAATTATTTTTTTTTCTTTTGCAAATGAACTTTTACTTTTGTTTTTTTTTGTTATTCCTTATTTTAATGGCTTTTTATTTTCTTTAATTAATATGTTTTTTTTTCCTGTTTAATTGTTTGTCTTTTATTGCTTTTGTTTTAACATTTTTTAACATGTTTTCTTGCCTTTTTTTGTGACTTTTGTGACTACAAAATTAGTGAGGATTGAATAAAATTTTATATTGTACACGACGATAAAATTTTCATTATCTTTCCGAGCATATTATCGTCTCGGCTGACGCCTCGACGCTAAATTGCTCTCAAAGATAAAATTAAATTTTATTGTCTTGTATAATAAATAACTATTTGTTATGTTTTTCTAGCTTGTGTTTTCTTTTCTGTTTCTACAAAAAATTTTCTCAAAAGATCTCAAAACTAGAAACTTAAACCTTTAATTATTTGGAGTAGTTTATTTCTAATCGATTTGTTGTAGCAATCGGTCCTGAGAGCTTGACAACCCCTGAGTCAATCGTCACGTGGTTGTTGGAACACCCCGAAACGGCAATTTCTGATACTGATTCCTCAAGCTCAGTGTGCGAATCTGATACTGAGTCAGTATCGTACGATAATGGCAATGCCATGCAACCTTTCGTTCAATTTTCCGGCGACTTTTCATCACAAACACAGACATATTTACGACGTTCACAATTCTTATCAAACGATGAGTATGCAATGTATGTGCGTGATAACGTCGAAGTGGGTATGTTGGTGCGCTGTTGCAAAAGTTACGAAGAGGTGCAACTTGGCGACATTGGAAAAGTCGTCAAAGTTGATCGGGAAGGCCTCCACGATCTCAACTTACAAGTAAATTGGCAACATCGCGTCAGTACCTACTGGGTGAGATTCATTCAAGTTGAATTATTGGGTTTCCCACCTTCGGTACCATCACCATCAACGTTAAAAGTCGGTGATAAAGTTCGGGTGAAGTCGACAGTGTCGACACCTAGGTATAAATGGGGTCACGTGACGCATGACAGTATCGGTGTTGTTGCCGGTATTTCACCCAATGGCCAAAACGTCCAAGTTGACTTTCCCAAACAACAAAATTGGTTGGGTTTAGTGTCAGAAATCGAAGTGGTACCATCGTGTCATGAAGGTGTCGCTTGTAATGGTTGTTGTGTGGTACCAATTTCTGGTCCAAGATTTAAATGTAAAGTTTGTGATAATTTTGATTATTGTGAGAATTGTTTCTATACGAAGAGGAACCATAAACACTCGTTTAATAGGATAAATGAGCCAGGTAGGGGAGAATGAGGGTGAGAAATGTACTAATTTTTGTTTAGGAGGGGTGGAAATTTATGCGGGAAAAGCGGGGAAGTACTGCCGACATGACACTTTCGATGGGGAGGGTGAGTTGATCAGTGATTGGGGTAAATGTGTGAGGAATGTGACTGTATCGTCGAAATATGCCGCCAAGTTTGAGATTCCAGGGTCGGTATGGCAGAGTTGTGGTAGTCAGGGAAAGGTATTTGATTTCTTACTTAATTTTTTTTTTTGTAAATTTTGGGGTTACAGCACTGGATTAGACTTGAAATCTATCCAGACGTTGTGATAAAAAGTCTTAAACTTGGCGTTGATCCGGCCGATAACAGCTATATGCCGTCTGTCATTGTGGTGAATGGAGGGTCAACACTAAATTCTCTACAAGAGTTAAACGTAATTAATGTTAAAAGTCACGATACTTCGGTTATTTTATTGTCAAATTTGGATAAGGTAAAGTGAGGGGTTGTTGGAAATGGTGGTTATGTTTTTTGTTCTTATAGTACTATTCAATTATTGAGATTAATATAGCCAAGTGTCGGAATAATGGTATTGATTGTAAAATACACGGAATGACAATTGTTGGTGTGAGAAGACAGTCGTATGGAGAATTGAAAACTTCAGTTTCGTTTCTTGCCAATGATTGGGATTTGAATCAGGAACAAATACCGGGGATGGTGACGGCGGCAAATGTTGGTAAGTGGCGATAAAAACATTCTTTTTTGTAACTTTTTAATTTTTTGCACTAATTCTGTGTTTTTTTTTTAGCTTCTCCTTTTGTTTTTCAATTCTGTTATGACATTTTGTTTTCTTATTTTGTTGTTTCTCAATTTCTTTATCTTTTTTTTTGTTGTTTTTTTGATAGCGTTTGTTTTTTTTGCTTTTATGTCTTTTTTATTATGGCTTTTGTTTTAACATTCTTCTTACTTTACTAACTTTAGCTTTTTGTTGTATTTGTGTACAGACTTCTTGCCTCCAGTCATAAAAACATTAGTTTACTTGCTCTTTATGACTTTTTTTTCTATTTTTTACTAATTTTGATTGTAAAAGTAAGTAATTGAAATTGATTGTAGTTTTTTCAGTATTTATCGTTCAATTAGCAGTGTACTTTGTTTTTTTTTTTTTTTTTGGAGAAGTTAGAACTCCTTTCTTTTTTAATAGTTGCTTTTTGAACTTTACTTTCTTTTTTGTTTCTTTAATTCCGTTTTTTTTGCTTTTTTCTTTTTTATTATGTCTCTCTATGTGGATTTTCTTTTCAGTCTTTTTTTTCTTTTGCAGGAGAACTTTTGCTTCTGTTTAATTTTTTTCGTTGTTACCCTCTACTTCACTGTTTTTCTTTTTTTTTGTCTTTATTTTTTTATTTTTTTAGGCCTTTGTTTTGTTTTACTAGCTTTTGTTTTTCTTTTTTGTTTTCGTGTTTTTGTTATGACTTTTGTTAACATTTTTCTTTTTTTAACTTTAGCTTTTTGTCACATTTGTGCTCAGACTTCCTGCGTCCAGTCACAATGTTTCAACTTTTATTTATTTTTATTGGAAAAACATTGATCTACTTTCCTTTTTGCAACTTTTTTCCAATTTTTTTACACTAATTTCGTATTTTTTTAAATTAATTCTTTTTGTATACATACATGCGCCTTTTTTTTTGAAGTTTTTTTTCTACTGTCAATTCATTCTTCCAACCTACTAGGGTTTGTTTTTTTTTCTTTTTGAAGAGAAGTTAGAGCTTCTTTCTTTTTTTCACACATACTTTTTGGCTTTTTATTATTTTTTTTTAAATTTGTTTTTACTCTTTTTCCAGATTTTTGTTCTGTGTTTTAAGTTTTTTTTTTCTTGGTGGTAGTTTTTTTTTCGGGTTTGTGTCTTTAGTACTTACTCAATTTTTAGTGATGTTTTTTTTTTTTTAATTGGATAATGGATAACTTTTGTTCTTTATTCATTAATATTTACAGAATTTATCTTTTTTTTTTATTTTTATTCTAAATTGCTTTTTTCATTAGCTCTCTTTTGTGTTATAAAGTTTCATGAAACTTTGGAATATTTAGAGATTTTTTTGTTACTATTATTTTAAACTTATGAGGAATAAAATCATTAATAATTTTAAATTTTTTATGTAGTATATAATTTCTTTATAATTACACAGTATAAAATAACATTTAAAAGAAAAGAAACAAAGGAACTGTCAATATTGTTAACAATTTTCAAACTACAAACGCATAGTAAAATACTGTGAACAAAAAACAAGAAATCATGTTATAACAATGCGTAATTATAAAGAAATGTTGAGATGTAAAGAAATCTACATTACCGACATTAGTTGAAACTCATGGAACTGTCTTTGAAACAAAGTTTCTAGTTTTCATTGATTCTGTTCAAGCTCACAATACTAATTTTCTGTATTTCTTTCAAACCCTTTCTTAGATTCTCTTTTTCCTTTTTAAAAATGTTTTTTTAGCTCAAGACTCGACCGGAGAGCCGTCTTCTACCGTGGGCTGTCGCGTCTTCGTCTGGGGCCTCAACGACAAAGACCAATTGGGCGGCATGAAAGGTTCCAAGGTCAAACTCCCCGTCCAATCAGATTTCTTAAGTCAACTATGGCCAATCCACATAGCTGGCGGTTCCAAATCACTTTTTATTGTCTCACACGAAGGAAAAGTAATACAAAAATATATTCAAAATTCGAAAATAACAATTTTAAATTTTAGTTATATGCATGTGGTGAAGGTACCAATGGTCGTCTCGGCCTCGGCCACAGTAACAACGTTCCTTACCCTCGCCCCATTCCATTTTTAAGTCAATACGTTATTAAAAAAGTTGCCGTTCATTCCGGCGGTAAACACGCAATGGCGCTAACCCTCGACGGTAAAGTATTCTCATGGGGTGAAGGCGAGGACGGTAAATTAGGACACGGTAATCGTCTCAATCTCGACAAGCCGAAAATGATCGAAGTTTTACGAAGTAAAAAAATCCGTGATATTGCATGTGGGAGTTCACATTCGGCTGCGATCACCAGTAGTGGGGAGTTGTACACATGGGGGTTGGGGGAGTACGGCCGTTTAGGACATGGTGACAACATAACGCAACTAAAACCGAAACTAGTTAAGACTTTAGTCGGTCATAGAATCATCCAAGTGGCTTGTGGGAGTCGTGACGCGCAAACTCTTGCATTGACAGACGAGGGATGGGTGTTTTCATGGGGGGATGGGGATTTTGGGAAGTTGGGCCGAGGCGGATCCGAGGGTTGCAACATCCCTCATAACATCGAACGTTTGAATACCCTTGATGTGGTACAGATTGAATGTGGGGCGCAATTTTCGCTCGCTTTGACGAAAAATGGTGAGGTTTGGACGTGGGGCAAGGGGGATTATTTTCGATTGGGGCACGGGTCGGACCAACATGTGCGAAAACCGACAGTTATCGAGTCGCTCAAGGACAAAAAAGTGATTCATGTGGCCGTGGGGGCCCTACATTGTTTGGCTGTCACCGATACGGGGCAAGTGTATGCATGGGGTGACAACGACCATGGCCAACAAGGTAACGGTACGACTATTGTTAACCGGAAGCCGGCCCTGGTTCATGGCCTTGAAGATGTTCATATTAATCGAGTCGCTTGTGGAAGTTCACATTCGATTGCGTGGACGTTGCAAGATACTCAAGTGGTGTCTAAGGTTGAACCGGTGATATTTCCTGTGGCTAAGGATCCGTTAGGTGCGTCTATATTGAGATTGTATGAAGGGGAGAAGATTTTGAGTAGACAAAATAGTAAAAATACACCGACTTTGAGTAGTATTGTTATGTCGTTGGAAAGTAATACAGCGAAACAGCAAGCGTTGCAACATATACTCAATGCGATACATATACAACAGTTGCGACAGGCAATTGTTAAAGCTTTGTGTAGTCATACCAACATGAAAAATACAAATGCCAAGCAGACGGGGACTTTGGATTCGCCCAATGAACGTTCGATTGGTGGTGGTGGGGGATCGTTGGTGAATAAGGATGGAGAGATTACGCTAGGAGGGGGCGAAGCGCCGGTCTCCATGACGGAAATGGTCGGAATTAATGTAAGTCAAAATAAAACAAAATTAAAAGTAGAAAAAATAAATGTAAACATATACAGTGTTTTTGTAAATGAAGTTTCTTTTTTCTTAGTTTTCGTGTTATACATTTTTATTACTTTATTTATTTTATTTTTTTTTTGTCTTTAAGTATTATATTACTTTTCGTTTTTAGTTATTTAGTTTTTTTCAGTTAATTGACTATTCTACTATTTTGCCTCTTTTCGCCTTTTTTTATTGACAATTTTTAGTTACTTGAGCCTTGTACTTTGTTTTGCTTTTATTAACTTACTTTTTGGACTTCTTCTTATCTTTGTTTTTTTTTAATATAGCTTTTTTATTTTTCATATGTGCTTTGTGGCCTTTCTTTTTAGTTTTTTTTTCCTGGTGGCTTTATTTAAAATAAATTTTTCTTTTTTCTGGTTTCTATTTTTAGTTTTTTGGTAGCTTTTGTTTTTCTTTTGTTTTCGTGGCTTTATCACTGTTTTTATACTTTTTTTTAGCGTTTATCGTTCAGTTAGCAGTTTTTTCTACTATCAATTTTTTTTGTACTTTCGATTCATTCTTCTAACTTTCGTTTTCTCATGCCTAGTTTTTGGATTTCTACTCTCTTTTTAGATTTTCCTTTTATTTTTTATTCAGTATCTTTTTATAGCTTTTGCGCAGGTAAATTTTTGCTTTTGTCCCAACTCTTTTTATTGACATTTTTTAGGGTTTTCTGTTTTTTCTGGCTTTTTGTTTTCTTTAATTAATTTTTAAAGTTCTTCTACTTTTTTTCTCTTTTTGTAGCTTTTGTAGGTGTTAATTTACTTTTTTTTTTTGAGTCTTATTTATTTTTCTCTCTTTTTCGTCCTAGCTTGTTTTTTGTTTGTTTTCTTTTCATTCTCTATAATATTTTTTTTTTCATTGTTGAGTTGTCCGTTACATTTAAATTTCTTTCTGTCATTTAATTTCTCATTTTTTTATTTCTTTCTTTTTTAATTACTCATTGCATTGACGTGTACAAATACTATGTGTATGCGCTACCGTTTTGATCTAGGACTCTTAGTTTTTGAGATGACTTTTTTACGAAAACTAAAAATGGCTCTGGACTCGGAAGTATAATCCATTAAATGGATAATTTATAGCAAATAAAAAATACAAAATAATATAAAAATATACAAGATTATCAGTATCATTAAATATACATAAAAAATGTCAAATGTCAAAAAAATTTGACATTTATTTTTTGACAGATAGAATTTTTTAAACATTTTTTTCATGTTTCTGGTATCTTACTTTACTTAAAAAAAAATTTCTGGGGCGCGAGTTCTGGCGCACACATAAAAAATGTCAAATGTCAAAAAAATTTGACATTTATTTTTTGACAGATAGAATTTTTTAAACATTTTTTTCATGTTTCTGGTATCTTACTTTACTTAAAAAAAAATTTCTGGGGCGCGAGTTCTGGCGCACCCTGTAGTTTCTTAGAAAAACCCATTTAAAGTTTCATAATTTTGACAATTTTTACTTTTTAAACAGCGATTCTGGCGTAACTATTAGAGTTATCGCAAAAAGTTCATTAACAAATTTTTACTTTTTTTTATTTTGTAAATTGCGGGAAAACTGTACCTCAAAGGTTATAATGTTTTTATGCATACATATGTAAAATGTTCTAGGAAATCGATTGCCGCCGAGAAAACTGCAAAATTCGTAATAGTTTTGAAGTTATAGCCGAATTTATATAACATTTTTAACATTATTTTCTAGAGGTCCTAAAGACTCAAAAAAGTGGGTCAAATTTAAAAAATTCCGAATTTTTTGAAGGTGAGCGGTAGTAAAATCGTAAAAATAGTTAATTTACTTTAATAAGCCGTAAAATCGCTTGAAATATGGCCTTTTAGACGTAAAATTAAGCGCTGAACAACTGAAAAATGCAACAAGTTAAAATACTCTACGATGCATAGTCTTTGAAATATTGAGTAATAAAGTTAGTAGGGCTATATATAGTACAAATATATTTTTGATTTTTGTTTTCTGTATATTTTTTTATACTTTTATTTGCAGAGCCATCAGACCACCCCCGAAACGGAGGAAAACCCATTGGCTCTCATCCAGTCAATGACAGCGAGCAGTTGTTCGGCGAGTATGTCATCAAAGCACTCTCGAATGTCAACAAGTGCGATGTCTGTCATTGCTGCCACTCTAACATCACATGCCGAGGTAATAACCCTGATAATAATAATTATTTTTTGATGAAAAAAACTCAATTTAGGTGATTGGTGACAGTGGTATAGCCGGTTTAGACGAATTCACATCCCTCCTAACCGAAAACGATGCTCGTTTGTTAGTCGATTTACTCAAGTTGGCCGTGGCTGACCGAATCGAAGACGACCAATCTAAAGAAATTCTGTCAACAGTCTTAATCACTCTCGGCAGTTCGAATAAATCAATCGGTGCAATGCTTCTCGAATTATGCGTAACCGAATTAGAAGACACTGCAAACAGCACCCAATCACTATCAAGCACTCCCCACCCCGTCGTCCAAGAATCCAGTCATCCATATATCGATGATATCACACTTCGTGGTCACGTGAGACTCCCAGGTGCCGATGCGCTCCGAGTCGAGTTCGATCGGCGATGTTCGACTGAACGACGTCACGATCCGTTGCAAATCACCGACGGAACTGGCCGAGTCGTGGCGACTAGATCTGGGAGAGAGTGGGGTGATTGGTCGGCTGAGTTGCGCATCCCTGGCGACGAACTACGATGGACTTTTACTAGTGACAGTTCAGTGAATGGGTGGGGGTGGAGATTTACGGTGTATCCAGTCATGTCGAATCATAGTCCGAATGAGATCGGGTCAGATCGGGCCGTTTTGAGTCAACCGTCGATGGATATGGTGATGTGTTTGCTGGATTCACGGTTGTATCCGATGGCTGATTCGGCACTTATGTCGCGATTGGCTGCTGCGTTGGCCGCCTGTTCGCAACTAAGTTTCTTATCGGCGAGTCAACGTATGTGGGCGTTGCAGCGTTTGCACCGCCTACTAGTGGGCGAAGATGCCAAATTGGAGGTTAGTCTACAGTTGGAACAATTGAAAGCGCCCGATAGTGCATTAGGGAGTTTACTAGAGGAGTTACCACAAGCATTATTGAGGCAATACGAATATGAGGATGTTTCAGTCCGGGCTGGACTACATCTCATGCATTCGGACTTTTTCAAGGTCAGTCACTATTATTGTCCAATAGAGACACTCATTTGTTGTTTTTTTTTCGCTTCAGGTTTTAGTAGCTCTAGCTTGTGATTTGGAATTAGACAAAATGGTCGGTCTTGTTGACAACCATAAATGGTCATGGTTTCGAAAGTATTGTCATGCGTCACGTGTCGCCAAATCACTAATACATAGAACTGTATTACCGGCGAATTTTTGTCAAGAGGTACGAAAAAAATTAGCTGATACGAACGCTGATGGGTGTTGGGAACACGAAAGTCACGATATTTTCAAAAAGGAACATGATGAACAGTTGCTGATTTGGTTGAACAGGTGAGTTGGAATTTTTGGAGAAAATTAGCAGAGGATAACAAAAATGGGTCATCACTGTCTGATAGTTTCCTGTGAATCAGGCTTTAACGTCAAATTTGACATTTCAAAATGTCAAAATGACAGGAACATTGTGACAAATTGAAAGTGAGGTTATTATCTACGGGCTGTTTCACATGTAATGTCAATACAGAATGACCTTGTTTTGTAATTTTGATTTTTGATTTTGTTTTCTCAATTTCTTGACACTGCCAGTGTGATCTATTGGTTGTTTAAAGCCCTAAATTTCCTGCTCAGTATTTTACCATATATTAATCTGTGATTTTACAATTAAAAAATAAAATGTGGGACATCAAATTTTTTACGCTTTCTGAAAAATCACTGAAGCATGCTTTAACGACAAATTTGACATTGACATTTCAAAACGTCAAATTTGTCATTCAAAATGCCAAAATGACAGGGACATCATTGTGACAAGTTGAAAGTGAGATTATTATCTAAGGCCCGTTTCACATGTTAACACAATGACCTTGTTCTTCTTTTGATTTTTAGTTCGGTTTTCTCATTTTTTTTTGTAATTGCTGTAATTGCCATTGCCATTATTATTTGTTTAATGCCCGACCTAGTATGTTTTTAATTAAAAAAAATAGACATTAAAATTTTGACACTTTTCTTAAAATTCACCGTAAAACAGACTTTAATGTCAGAATGACAGGAATATCTTGATAAGTTGAAACTTGAAAGTGAGGTTATTATCAAAGGGCCGTTTTATATACAATATGTCCCCGGATTGAATTTACAAGAGGAAAAAAAATTTATCTTTGATTTTACGCCAAAACTTCAAAGGAACAAAAGTTTTTGCTTTATTCGAAACCAGCAAATCTGTAATTAAAACTTCATTATTCTAACTCATTTGAAAGAAAAGTTCATTTTTCTCTTGATTTTGGCCTTAAAATATTTTTTCTCTGCTTTTTAAGTCCGATCACATTGGCGGTTGTATTATTTTGACAATGATATCACTTTTACAAATGAGTTTACGCAAGTTAAATAATAAAAATGTTTGTGAAAAACATAACTTTAATAAACAGCAACTCAAAGAAACAGCTTTAAGGTAAAAACCAAAGTCATTTTTAACAAGAACTATCATTATTTAATTAATAAATTAATTGTCAAAGTGTTATAGTTCTCAAATAATTAATGTGATAAGACTTAAAAAGCAGAGAAAAATTATTATTCCAAAATAAGTCCAAAATCAAGAGAAAAATTTACTTTTCTTTTCACTGATTCAGAATAATGAAGTTTTAAGTACAGATTTGCTCGTTTCAGGTGAAGCAAAAAATGTTTTTCCTTTGCAGTTTCGGCCTAAAATCAAAGATAAAAAATTTTCCTCTTGTAAACCCAATCCGGGGACATACTGTATAATGTCAACAGAATGACCTTGCTGTGTTTTTGAATTTTGATTTTGTTTTCTACCAGTGTCATCTATTGGTTGTTTAATGCTCTAAATATTTTGCTCAGTATTTTACAATTGAAGAGCAGACTTTCAAAATGCAGTTTGTCCATGCCTTTGTGAATTGAGATAAAGGTTTTTAAAGTTTTTTTTTAATGCCTAAGTACTCCGGCCGTAAAATTAGTGTCCAATTGTGTTCAATTTGTACATATTTTTTCACATTTATTGTCACTGATATAAAAAATTAAAATTATTTCTCAAAAAGACAGTTTTTGTTCTCTCCCGCAAAAATGCAAATTTGGTCAAACTACTTTTTGAAAGTCTGCTCCTCAATTGGAAAATAAAATATGGGACATCAAATTTTTAACCCTTTCTGAAAAATCAATGTGAAGCATGGTTTAACGTCAAATTTGACATTCCAAAACGTCAAATTTGATGTATTTCAAAATGTCAAAATAACAAGAACATCATTGTGACAAGTTGAAAATAAGATTATTAGCTATTATCTAAAGGCCGTTTTACATGTCATGTCAGTAGAATGACCTTGTTCTCCTATTTTTTTCGTATCGAAAAATGTTTATTTCCAGCTTTTAATTTATGTATACTTATTTTTGTAATTACTCCTTTTATTTTTCTCTTTATGGTTTTTCTTTTCAGTTTTTTGTTTTTCTTCTCTGTTTTTCTGTCTTTATCATGACTTTGTTCTCCTTTTTAGCGTTTATATCCTTTTTTTCGTTACAATTCGAATTTTTGTCATTTTATTGTTTATTTGAAAGTTCAGCTCTTTCTAAAGGCTGTTTCACACGTCATGTCAACAGAATGAGCTTGTTTATTTATTTATTTTTTTTGACCAAAAGAGATTGTTTTTTGCAGACGTCCCGAGGATTGGACCTTGTCGTGGGGCGGTTCTGGCACGATTTACGGCTGGGGCCACAACCACCGCGGCCAATTGGGGGGTATAGAGGGCGCTAAAGTCAAAATACCCACACCTTGTGAAGCCTTATCGACTCTAAGACCGGTGCAATTGGTAGGAGGAGAACAAACTTTATTTGCAGTAACGGCTGATGGGAAAGTCTACGCCACTGGTGAGTTTAAATAAACTCAAAATGAAGTTTTTTAATGAAAAATTTAGGTTACGGTGCCGGTGGACGATTGGGTATAGGGGGAACCGATTCGGTTTTAGTTCCAACTTTACTAGAATCGATCCAACACGTTTTTATAAAAAAAATCGCAGTCAATTCGGGTGGAAAACACTGCTTGGCTTTATCGGCCGATAATGATGTGTATTCATGGGGTGAAGGGGATGATGGGAAATTGGGTCATGGAAATCGATTGTAAGATGTTTCACTCAACGAATCATAATTTCATTTGTAATTTTCAGAGCTTGTGAAACACCGAAATTAATTGAAGCGTTACAAGGTTATGAAATTGTTGATATTGCATGTGGGGGGGCTCACAGTGCTGCAGTAACAAGCACAGGTCAGTTGTATACGTGGGGGAAGGGTCGATACGGCCGATTAGGTCATGGTGACAGTGAAGATCAGTTAAAACCGAAACTGATTGAAGAATTAGTCGGTTATAAAGTTATAGATGTCGCTTGTGGTTCAGGTGATGCACAGACTTTGTGTATAACCGACGATGATAATGTATGGTCGTGGGGTGATGGTGATTATGGTAAATTGGGTCGTGGTGGCTCAGATGGATGCAAAGTTCCTAAGAAAATCGAAAGTTTGGCCGGTTTAGGGGTGATTAAAGTCGAGTGTGGGTCACAGTTTTCTGTCGCTTTAACACGCTCTGGAAGCGTTTATACTTGGTAAAAATCGGTTTGGTTTAACCGAATTTTAATTTGTTTTTTAAAGGGGGAAAGGTGATTATCACCGATTGGGTCATGGTACCGGTGAACATGTCCGAAGACCGAAAAAAGTAGCCGCTTTACAGGGTAAAAAAATTATTAGTATTGCAACAGGTTCCTTGCATTGTGTTGCTTGTTCCGATGAAGGAGAAGTGTTTACGTGGGGTGATAACGATGAGGGGCAATTGGGTGATGATACAACTAATGCCATTCAAAGACCGAGACTAGTATCGGCATTACAGGTACCTGTAACTTGAAATTTGCACTTGTATCGTAGATTTAATTTAAATTGTCATAATGGGTGGCTATAAGTTTGTAGCCCTGCGCATGTCCCTGGTATAATAGCCAGTGTTGCCATCTCAAAACAATTAAATTCACCAGATCTGAACTGATTAAAATTATATGATTGTTTTTTTAGTACTGTCAAAGAAGCACGTTTTTTATATAAATCGCGCAAACCTGCTCAAAAACGTGGTTAAACGCTCGAAAAAATCAAAAATAAGTAAAACGCTATTTCATTTAGTCTAATTCTATAATTTTTTGGTTAGTTTTTAATTAATTAAATTTTGCGAAATACCGGGTGACAAAATATCTGTTGGCAACACTAAATTAGTGGTAATCTTTTTAACTTTGTTATATCAAAAAGTTTCAGGTGACGCTGCAGCAGTCGCCCGTCGCAAATGAATGACAATTGCCTATAAAAATTTGACGTTTAAATTTAAAAGTCAAGGTTGCCAAATTAAATTTTAAATTTGACACCAAATTATTTACAGCCAGCCGATATTTACGTTTTTACTTGAAAAGCATGCTTAAACACTTGATAAAGGCAACAATAATGACTTAATTTGATGTATTTTTGGTTTGTTTTAGCAAAATCTTGCAATTAACACTATTTTCGATCATATTTTGTAATTCTTCTCTTATTTTTGACTCAAAAAGAGCTAAATCGAATGAAACAAACGAAATAACGTATTTATTTTTGTTGTGTTTAAGCTTGTTTTGACAATATCCTGCAAAATAAATGAGTCTCTGGTTCAAAAACGAACTAAATCGAGCTAAAATGATTCAATTTTAATCTAATTTGGTAATTTTTCAGTAAGTTTTAGCAAAAATTTGAATGTATTTTAAAAACGTGCTGAACACTCTAAAAATGCAAAAATAACACACTTTTGGCCTAATTTGATAAATTTTTGGTTTGTTATTAACGAAATTTTGCGAAATAGTTTTGTTTCTGGCTAAAAACGTACTAAAGCGCTAAGAAATAGAAAAAATTATGTAGTTTTTGACCCATTTTAGCGATTTTTTATCTTGTTAAATGAAATATCATTTAGAAAAAAAACTGTTTTTCGATTTTTCAACTTCATTTAGAAAAAAAACTATTTCTCGATTTTTCAACTTGTTTTTGAGGAAAACTTAGTATTTGAAATTCTGCATGGCTAAAAAACGTGTAAAATGCTCAAAATAATACAAAAAAATAGTGTCATCATTTTTGACTGAATTTACTATATCAATAATTAAAAAATCAAATTAATTAATTTTACCAACATTTGAGCGAATACTCGATTTAAAAAAAATATTTCCAAAAAAATTATCAGAAATTCGAATTTTTACAAAAGTTTTTACCAAATCATTAAACTAGTAAAAAAATCATCAGAACGGGTGAAATTTCACCAAACCTGGCAACACTGATAATAGCAGATGGGATTTTTGGTTTTCTTTGATTACTTACTTACATGGTTTGTTGAACTGATATGACTGACATTTGCATTTGTTTTTTTTTTTCAGTTTTCGTTGCTTGTTTGTTATTCCCAGTATTTTTCCAAATTATAATTATAAATAGTCTTCTTCAAAACTCGAAATTTTTAGAAGCTACTTGATGCACATTAATATGAAAAAGAGTATAGTTTTTGGTGTTAAAACTACACCTACAAAAGGATGGAACAGGGTGTTAAACTTTTTATGGAAAAAAAAACCCTCATAAAACTACTGAGAGTTTTTTAGAAATCAAATTTAAATTATCTTAATCTCACTTTTTTCACTCTTTGACATTTAAAGCGCGGTTTACACAATCATGGCCTACTGTTATGCCAATTTCAATGTAATGGATTATAATTACTTGTTTTGTTGAAGGGGAAAAAAATTACAAATGTGGCTTGTGGTTCGGCACATACTCTCGCCTGGTCAACTAATAATGCTAGTTCGGCGTGTGCCCGTTTACCATCAGTGGCGCCACTTGAGTACGATCTTTTACAAGATATACCGACTTGGGTCCTACATCGACGGTTGGTACTACTGTATTATTTCGCCGAGTTGATTTGTCCATGTATTACAATGTTTCCAATCACCGGGTCTGATTCCCTCCACGAATTGAGGAGTATTTTGATTTACACTATCAAGGAGGCAACGTTTAGGAAAGTGGTTCAGGCTACGATGGTGCGTGATAAGCATCACGGACCTGTCATTGAATTAAATAGAATACAAGTGAAACGGTCAAGGTCACGTGGGGGCCTTGCAGGAGTTGATGGAATGAAATCAGTTTTTGGTCAAATGGTAACTAAATTACCACTTTTGACATCGGAAACTTTAGCATTGCCACATCGAGTATGGAAAGTGGAGTTTGTTGGTGAAAGTGTCGATGATTGTGGGGGTGGTTATAGTGAAAGTATCGCAGAAATGTGCGATGAGTTACAAAATGGTTCCCTCCCGTTGCTTATACCCACCCCTAATGGGCGGGATGATGCCGGGCCTAATCGAGACTGTTTCATTTTAAATCCCACAGCGAAGAGTTGTTTACATTTGAATATGTTTCGATTTTTGGGTGTTTTAATGGGGATTGCGATACGGACTGGTTCACCGTTGAGTTTGAATCTTGCTGAGCCGGTTTGGAAGCAATTGGCTGGGATGGAATTGACTCCAGCTGATTTAACTGAAATTGATAGGGATTATGTTCCCGGTTTGTTGTGTATTAGGGAGATGGGGATGGAGGAACCGTTATTCCAGAATTTGGAAATGCCGTTCTCGACACCGTCATCCTGTGGGAGTGATGTACCGCTCAGTACGAAGTATAAGAGGATCACGTTTGAGAATCGGCTCGAGTATGTGCGACTAGCGCTGAATTTCAGGTAAATTGGCAAATTTCAAGATTTCAGTATTGCTCTAACAAACGAAGCGAGTGTTTAAAATTTGTTGATTTTATGGACGGAACTTTTTTTTATCATGTTAGAAGATTTGTACTTTTCTCAACCGTTTTCAGTTGAGAAGCTGTGGAGAAAATTAAATAGTAATAAAAAGAAAAAAGTGTAAAAGATTAGAAAAAGTACAAATGCCCAACAAGCAAAGCAAAAACAAAGTTATAGAGAATTAAATTATTTTAAGTGTGAAATATTTGATATTACTGATATCAGTGATAAAACAAACATGATAAGGGTATTGATAAAATTTTGTGGTTTTTTTTTCAATATTTTATTATTTTTTTTATACGTTCATATATACCAGGTGAATAAAAAGTATGGAACCAAACGTTTTTTGTTTGAACTATTTATTTTTTGAAAAAAGTAATTGATGAGTGATAAAGTACTATAAAAATGTGATGATTTAACAAGAATAAAATTTTTCGAAATTTACTTTTGTTTTTGAGTTCTACAAAAAAAATATTTTTTTATATGGCAACCCACTATAAAATCATTTTTCTCATAGAAGCTATGCTCTAAGGATTACAACTATCTGCTTTATTTTTAATTTTCTGAAAATACGATCACTTTTTTTATATTACTTTAATGTATATTAATTATTATTTTCTGGAGGCAAATGATTAAAAATAAAACCGCTTGGTTCCATACTTTATATTCACCCTGTATGTTATAATTTTTGTCATCATTGGGACAAGTTGGCGGCCTCTTTAGTTCTTTAAAAACAACATCATAACCAGCATTGTCGCAAAAAATATGGTTGTTCCTATGTCCTTTGAATCTTTTTTAATCCAACTTTTACATATCTTTTTTAGTTTTTTTTTTAGTTTATGACCTAAAAAATGATAGCAATGGAAAATCTTATGCAAAAATTTCACTTACCATTTTCCATGGTTTTTGTATGTTGTTTTGTTTCTATTGTATTACTTATAAGACTTAACTTGAAGCAAACTTGAAAATATCTGAACAATACTGATAATGTGTGGCTTTATTTAGTTTATTTATTCAATTGTCTAAAATAGCTAGTGATAAATAATAGTAAGTGAGCTTGTTGAAAAACAATTTAACCAAGAATCTGAATTTTAAAAATTTTATAGATATAAAATTAAACAAGTTCCGTAACAAAGTTTGCATTTCTTAATTTTCCGACTGTTGTTATATAACTACATGAAGTAGTTTGTATTACTTTTTATTTGAAACAACATTTAATCTAAAAAGAGAATAAATATTTCAAATAAAATTTTAATTTTACACTAACCTCTTTCTTATTATTTTTATAATCTGTATGTCAAAAATTTCATTAAAAAATTAAAATAAAAAAAATCTGAATGAATTACTCAAACGATGTTCTGACGTTTCAGTAACGCGCCCTTAAAATGGAATTTCAAAGAAAGCAAAAATTTCTAACAGGGACATTTGTAACATTTTTTCAAGTAATAATTAGAATGGGGAATCGGTTTTATAGATTCCTAAAAAAACTGCTGGTAAATATTTTGCAAAGTTTTGCTACTTAACGTTTTTATTTTTCAAATTATTTTATACAGTGAGCCGCAAAAATATGGAATAATCTTAATAAAACTAAAAATATTTTGTTTTGGCAAAAATGCTGGAACAGGTTAATTTTCTTACACAAATACACAATTTTCAACTTGATTGAAAATTCTACACTTTTTGGTTTTTGAGTAATTAAATCGACATTTTTCAGCCAATCCTACAGATCTCGAAATAACAACACCAAAATATTAAATTTTGCATAAAGTTTTCGAAAAAAAATCACCATAAAAGTGAAATAATATCAACAATAAACAAACGTACAATTTTAAATCAAGTTGAGAATTTTGTATTTTTTTAAAAGAAAATTGACCTGCTCGAGCATTTTTGGCAAAAGAGAATATTTTCAATTTTAATAAATAAAATTATTCCATAATTTTGAATAATTTTGCACAGTATTTTATTTTTGTGTAATCCAAAGTAAACAATTGACGCTATTATCAATGATCGACTTAAATAACTTGTTCTAAGTATTTTGATATCAAGAGACACTTGCTTCTGTATGTTCTCCTGTGGCTCAGTAGTTGGAGTCTTACTCCGGTATTCTGACGATGTGAGTTCGAATCTCACACAGTAAAACCGACTGTTTTTCATCAACTACTTTAAATTTGAAGGCGCGCTCTGTGTACGCCGTGGAGGGAGAAATGTTGACCTGCCACGTCCCTCCACGGTGCCGGTGTCCGCCAGTAGTGTTCTCGGCGAATTTTCTCTCGTATGCTTTGACGTCGAGACTGCAAGAGAAATCAGATTCGAGTCTGGCTGTGGCGGATGTAGAACTGAGTTCAGATTTCAAGTTAGAAGACTTGATGAAAATAAAGCGGAATTTCCTGTTAGCTTAATTGGTAGAGCGGCAGAACGGTGAAGAATTAAGGAGAATTATTTTTTTTGTGATTGTGTTAAAATTAGAAAGACTTTTTTGGGCTGCTTTGGGAACTAAAATTGTTATAAGGGTTTTAAAGTCTCTTATTATTGTCAATTTTTAATGGAAATTTTATTACAAATCCGAACTTCTGCAATAAAGTTTTAATGAACAGCTTGTTAAAAGATGCGGAGCCTTATTGGGGCCTCTCCCATTTACTGTTATCACTTTGATAACTAATAAATCATTGTTATCTATCAGATTTTCCTAATTTATTTATCAGATCTAAGTCTAATTTTTACCAAGAAATGTGTTGACCTTAATTTTTCTAACGTTTAGGCTTTTCAAAAACTGCATTTTTATTATTTTTTATTCCTAATGCAATAATTTTTTACGCTTTTATTAGAGACACAGCTCTCATTCTTCCTTATTTTCAAACTTTGAAAATAAATGTAAGTAGGTAAGTAACTTCCGTCAAAATGAATTTAAACGTGGTCATGTCGTCAGCACTTTTCTCCATTGTAGGTGATGTAGTGATGTAAGAGACTTGCGATTTGGGAAATTCTTTAAAAACAACATCGCTCCAAGGAATACAATAGTCGATACAATTGTAACAATCTTCATGCATACACTTATTGTGGCTAAAATGAAAATTTAGATGTTTAAATACCACAGAAAACCTCAAATGTAATAGATTTTGCTACTACGAAGTTATCCAGAAAGACTAAGTGTTGGCAACAGATTTGAACGTATTTTTGTTAATAATTTGAAATACTACAACCGGGTACGGTTTTGCTTGACAAATACTTGACGTACAGTTACGGAATTAAAATTTCGGGCAGTATTTTTCTGTCACTTGAAAAAGTTCACTGTAAACTACCTTTTACTGTCATTCATGACTAAGGCTCGGATTATATGCAAAATGCATATTTGTTATTAAGAGGTATATCAACAAAATTGTAAGTTTTCGATGCGTATCTAATGTTTTTTTTTTTATTAAAATAAGCCAAATAAAAAATGCATATTTTGGCAACTTCGTGCATATTTTAGGAAATATTGCATATTTGTGCATATTTTCTTCAAATCACAAATTTCCGATTAAAAAATTCAGTTCAAGTTAAAAATTGTGTAGTTTAAGAAAAATGACCCGATTACAAAATATTTTAAAGAGAAAACAATCGGTAATTCGTAAGCCACTCAAAAACTCAAAAAAATTAGTATCCTGCTGAGTAAATTCGTTTTATAAAGTATCAAAATAAGCGGTTTCTTTTAAATCATTTGTTTCCAAAAAATAATAATTAATATAAATTAAAGTAATATAAAAAATATTCTTATTTTAAGAACAAAATTTTGCTTTGTTTTTTGTTGTCAAAATTGCAATTTATATAAAAAAATAATAATTTAATATAAAGTAGATAGTTGTAATCCTCTTTAGATCATGACCTTCATGATAAAAATGTTTTATTTGGTAGGTTGCCATTTAAAAAAATAAATGATGTGATCTGAAAAGTACAGATTTCTTGGAAAAGGCTTAATTACAATGACTTGTCTGAGGCAAAACCAATTTATTTATTCTCTTTCATTTATCGTGTGCAGTTCAAGAAGCCGAAAATACAAAGTTTAGTGTACTCGAGGATAAAAATTTAACCCAACTTTGATTTTTTATTGCTAAAAGTTTTGCATATCGATGCATATTTGGTATATATTGGAGTATATTTCTTAATATCTTGTGCATATTTTTGTGAAAATACGTGCATATATTAAAAAGTTTCTAATATAGGCCCTAAAAGAATCACCTTGTATAGGATTTACCTCTAATGACGAAAATATCTTTGGACCATAGAAAAAATTAATGTCTATCGTCCAAAGGAAATCGCATTTCGTTCTTCTTTACTGTCAGAGTAATCGAAGAATTACGGAGCTCTGGGACATCCTGTATATGCGCATATTTTACGAATTTTTCATGCATATAATCCGAGCCTTATTCAAGACTGACATTTAACAATTAAACTTTTCTGTCAGTGACGCAATTTTTAAGTCAAAATGACATAAACATGACAAGAGTAAAAATGAGGTTATTAATGTAAAGGTTGTTTTAGAGTTTACATTGTGAAAATGACAATATTGCCCGAAATTTTAATTCCACAACTGTACAAGATTGTTTAATTGTTCTTAATCAAAAGCGTACTTTAATGGTAAGCTTTAAAAATTAGGGTCAGGATTGCCAAGATATTCAGTCATTGTGGATCACTTTGTATATGGATCTGTTGAGAACAAAATAACAAATTTAAAAAAACCGACAGAAAAATAGAACAAAATACCGAAAATGATGAATTTCCTTCTTCAAGCCCTACAAAAACAATCTTTTCTTGTATTTAATGAATACGTTTTCATACCTTTTACCATAAAATGTGATGAAATCAGTTAAATTTTTATCATTTTATCTTTTGTTTTCAAGTACAGCGTTAATTAATGTTTTTTTTTTTAATACTGTAATAAACACCGGGTGAGTATTAATGTTTGT